CGGCCGCAGGTGGTGGTGAAGGTGGAGGTGGAGGAGGTGGAGGTAGAGGAGGTGGAGGTGGAGGAGGACGATGATGAAGTGGCGGTGGTGGTGGAGGTGGCGGTCGTGGTGGAGGAAGAGGAGTAGGCAGAGGCAGAAAAAAGAAAACGAAGAATGGACCTCGGAGTGTGCACGCGAGGATGACGATGATTATTTGCGTTCCCATAAAAATAACTGCTCCGTGATTTTGTCCACTCAATTTTACCTCCTTAGCGTTATTATACTCGCGGTCACTTCTTAGTAAGATTTGGAAAATGACGAATCCGCTTGATGATAAGTTTAGAGTATATTTTGCAACGTGTGCCGATTCATTGGCACTGATATTTCTTAAAATAATATGACATTCTCGAAAAGCTTTAATCTTTACGTTCGCGTGTTTTCCTTCGTGCACGTATATATCAGCATTTTTGCAGCTAAACGGAAGACCGGAGAAAGAGCGGGACGGAGAAAACGGAGGTTCATGCAATATTTTTATCGATAACGCCTTGCTTTATTTTATCTTGAGGTAATTTAAATGCGGTTGCGCAAATATATGTATGTGCACATAATGGTCGTTTTATAGAGATGACTACGTTTACAGGTCGATGGAAATTTTCTATTAAGAAATGAAATTCGGAAGTGGCTGTACGCTTAAAACTCAATTTCAAATGAAATTTTAAAGAAGAAAGAACAAAACAAAACAAAAAAAAATGCTAGATTTCTCGACACTTGAGATATTCGAACGTTCGTTCGTACTTTCATACAAATTTTATGGTAAATACGTTAGAATGAAGGAAAACAAATTTGCAATTACTTTCTTGTTGATTAAGCAGAATTTCTGATTTTCTTATCGTCTTGTTTCCATTCTTTTAGAAAAAAAATTGTCAACTTCTGGCTTACCTCCGTATTACCAATTTATGCAATTGCAAAGCTACAATATAATATTTCGCTCCACCAAAGCAGGAATAATAATTATATCGTGAAGTATAAGAAAGAGTCGAGCTTGCCAAATTGAAATATCGATGTAACTTTGTATTGAAGAAATGATGAAACGAATATAACCTAAATATAATATTTCAAAGTAGAATATAAAAATTGCAATTTATCGAGACACTGTTTTATCGATTGAACATTCAAGAATTTTATTTGCGTTCAAAAAAATATTTAGACATATGTAAAGTTTTACATAAATCGTCCGAAGAGTTTTTACAGTCGATAATTTTTTTAGCATTTTAGTATTTGCTTGGCTACCTGTATTCAAATTGTGCGTTAATCGACGTGTTCATATTAAATTAGAGTTAATTATTCAATGACCGATAAGTAAAGCTGCGCGCTGTGGTAAATATATGAAGTTTACATGGCTCGTAAGTGACTGTCGTATTAATTTCGTTTAGGCGATTTTGAATTTCACAGCCTTGCACTTCATTATACATACGGTAATCGCTGCAAAGCCAAACGGTAAAACGTATGTTCCTATAGTATTAAAAATAAAAAAAAAAAAAAAAAAAAAAATTACTGTGTCTAATATACTTCAAACAAAATATTGAATATTAAACTATACATATATAAAGATCATACCTTTCTTGTGAGTTATCATTTCTATCGATTTTGGAATGATTTAATCGTGACCATACAGTAGATACAGTTGATGCTAACTTGGGTCTATGTTGAACAACTTTAATAACACTTCCTTTTGGACCTTGAACTTCTTTTTCAGAAACACTACTATCACTACTAACATGAACGGATTCAGATGCTGAATCATCTCCAACTTCTATTTCCTCTATTTCCTCTTCTTCCTCTTCTTCATATTCTTCTTTACTATCACTTCCAGAATCATCAATAATTTCACCCTCTTCTTCCTCATTACCATCATTCTCTTGCTGTACAACCACTTCATGAACATCTTCATCTTCATCCTGCATTAATTAAAAAAATTAATAACTTTTTATTTAAATTGTAAGCGGGTAATGTATTCGTTTAAATCTACCTCGGTTAAATTAACATTAGTAAAGTTACTTTGAACTGCTTTAGGGTTTGTAACTACAACTTGAATTGCTTCGTGGTATACAGGTGGTAATCTTCTTTTTGCAGTTAATTTTCCTCGTAAATCATTATCCATTATTTTTCCACTATGATTTATCTTTTAAAAATTTTGTATAAATTTATGATTATTTATTTGAAATCAGAGGCGAAACTAACTTGAATAATTAAATATTTAATTTACAAACCATATTTCTAATTTTCCCTTTTCGTTTCTGAATTTTTTCTTCTTCGTCATCTGCATGCATTCGCATTCTTGGCATTTTACTTCTTTTACACCAATTTTCTTCTTCACTTGATGTTTCAGATTGGCTTTCATCGGAAAGTTCAATAATATTTGAATTCTCTTCTGGAAATTCTTTTTCATGGGTTTTAAAACCTAATCTTTCCTTTACATTAGAAACTGCTTCAGTAGTTGTTTTAGGTAAATAGTCATCCTCGACAAAATCAGTAACTCCCCAATTCTTAGAGAGAGAACCCCATGGATTTTTAGCAGCTATTCCATTTGTACTTGATTCTTCTTTCAATTTAGGTGAAGATTCTTTTAATTGTTTATAAACGCGTTTTCTAGATGAAGCTAATATTCCTCTTAAACCTATAATATTGTTTATATAATAGTATTGATATTGGATAATAATTTATTCAAATTCAAATTTCTGTTATATAAAGCTTTTTTTTATAAATAATAATACTTTATTTTATTTTAGTTCGTGTATGCATTATTAATATTATAATGTGGTCCCCGGAGAGTGCCGGTACGATAATCAGTCAGTAGTACTGTCTTGCGAGGAGCATCAGGCGGCACGTGAGTCCAGCGCGTCTAGTCCTCAACGGCAAGGACCTTCTTAGTTCGTCCGTTCGTTTGTTTCCGCCGATGACGTAGCTCGGCCGAGTTCTCGGAAAATCCACCGATGGCAAGCTCATTCGTCTCGCTCTTTCGTTCACGCTTGCGATGCTAAAAGGAAAGTAAGGAGCGAGAGGGGAGAGAAAGAGCGCAGCGGGACCGACGGCACCACCGCCACCGCCACCGACACCGTCATCGCCACCGCTACCGCCACCGCCACCACCACCACCACCGCCGTCGTTACCGCCACCACCACCACCACCACCACCCCCTCCCCCACCACCACCACCACCACCACCACCACCACCACCACCACCGTCACCGCCACCGCCACCGCCACCGCCACCTCCACCTCCACCTCCACCACCGTTGTCGCGGCCATGTTCGGCTCGGGACGTAGAAAGTTTCTCGATTGCTCGGCTATCGACGCGTCCCTCACCGCCGAGGACACCGTCCTCACGTGTTCACGCGGATACGATTTGTGCCGAGTGTAGTACCGAACAGTGCCCAACGAATGTTCCGGTTGTCGCGGACCGGATGTCCATGACCGGGAAGTCTGACGGAAGTTATCGCACTCGCGCCAAAGAGAGCACCAGGAGGTTGAAACGACCGATACCAGTTACCTCTATCTCGCGTAAGAGACGCTAATACACGCACACGGTTGTAAAAATATCACCGACTTGGATATCCTCCGCTAAATCTAGTCGCTATTTTTGCAGTATAATGTCTTTCTCACTCCAGTAATTCCCTTTTCAATAGAAAGTTTTAGTTCACGTAATCCTCTTTTCTCAATTCACAAAGAACGGTGAAATCGCTCGTGAGAAATCGAAAATTTCGTAGGAAAGTCTTTAATAATAAAGATAGAATAAAAAAACGAATATACCGTGATATATAAATAGTGTGCGTACGCGTGCGTTTGTGTGTACAGAGGAGAGATTAAGTGTGCATGTGAGAGAAAGAGAAAGAGAAAGAGAAAGAGAAAGAGAAAGAGAGAGAGAGAGGGAGAGAGAGAGAGAGACAGAAATAACAAAAAAAAATAAAATTCTAAAAGTAAGAAAGAAGCGTAATCTAGTAAATTGTTGAGAGTACTGCTAATTAAAGAAAAAAGTGTAATGTGTGTAATAATTATGTCCGAGGAGAAACCGGCTTTGTCACATTGTTTAACGGCTTTCTTATTTAAGCGGAGGTAAGTCCAAAGTTTTTAAACAAAACTAGAAATCTCCGACGATTCCCACATAATTTCCTTTCCTTCCTGCTTCCTTTCTTTCATTTTCTTTCCCATTTATATCATCACCGATCGCGTAACGTGTGATTAAGGTCAGATTAATATTTGAACTTGTAGTAGACAACTATGTTCTCAAGAATGTGAAAGAGAGAAAAAAAGTCGTGCATCGCTTGTGTCTGCATTTTACATATACGAGCTAAAAGAGCGCGTGTACATATATAACGAGAGCCTTGAGCTAATATTCGATTAAACTTTTTTCACCGACATTAAAATCGAACGTGGAAACAACAACTGCACAATGCGACAGGAATTTTAAAAGTACCAACATTCTAAAAAAAAAGAACAAAAAAAAGAACAAAAAAAAAAGAACAAAAAAAATAGAACAAAAAAAAAAATAGAACAAAAAAAAAAGAACAAAAAAAATAGAACAAAAAAAAAAATAGAACAAAAAAAAAAGAACAAAAAAAATAGAACAAAAAAAATGACTCTTTAGGAGATTTATAAATCTCTTTGACTTTTTTTTGCCGCTTTAATGAGATATCATAGTCAACCAACTTCTCGATCACAAAGGATACCAAAACACAGGATGCCGAATATATGAAATTATTTGGATAATAATAACGAGGAGATTTTGAGTGGCATCTTAGATAATGCATCATCTTGTAATAGCAATAGTAATTATCAACGGTTTATTTTATTTTCACAACTGTTTGGAAAAACCAATAATTGAATTTCGGTTTTATCTGCAAAATATTATCTTATCGCAGACATTTATTATTTTTAGACGATTTATCGTGATTTGTTTACATTTTAGGTTATTTAACAACGAATGTCATTTATGATTTTATCCAGATACACTATGAAGTTTTATGTGAAAGGTATAAATTTATAAGTTCGAGTGATCATAGATTCGACATTTACAAATTTTAATGATATATCCTTGATAAACTTGATTGCTTCGTCAAAGTTCGTATCTCGATTTTATTGATTTTTTGCCCATTTCTTCTCGTTCCTTCGTTCGTTGATAAAGTCAAGTCTCGTAGTGGGAATTAAAAACCAGTTGTCGTAAAGGCAAGAGTATATTAATTCTATTTAACCGAAGGATTGTACGCAAGTGCATTCAACATTAGTAACGATGCCCGAAATTTCTCCATTATGAAATATTTTTCGCAATGTTGATTACGCCATCGTCCAATCGAGCAAAAATTTCTGTTTCTTTGTAATTTGATGAGCGAGGCGATCTTAGAATAATAGAAAAAAAAATCCGATGTTACAAAAATGAAAACGAGGAACAATTTTGTATACAAAATTAAATTTAATATATATATATATATATATATATATATATTTTTATATGAGCAACGGTTTTTAAGCAATAACAATTCGAATATATTGTTTGCGCGTGATGCTTGAATGCCGATGAGAACAGACTCGTAACGATGGAGCGTTGCCCTAAAAACGCCGAAACTCCGAAGAAGAAAAAAAACCATCGCACAAAAAAGAGAAAATTAAAGATTACGCTTTTAGCTTTTGAACGCTTTCTTCAATTTACCGTTCTACTTATTTCCTAGTTCCGCAAAGCTTAGGACGAATTTTCATTTTCTTTATTTTTACCCGACAAGAGACACCTCATCTTTGAATTAAATTATATTTCAAATACAACGTTAATATGAAATATAGTTAAAATTATTTCAAATTATGAAGTTTTAAGCGCCATCGATATATAATTTACTATTGCAAGGGCATTTTGTTTTGAGAATTTAAATATAATTAAGCAAACTTGAGCAGACGTGATTTTATTCGATGATTTAATTGAATCTTGAAGCTAAAGACAAAAATAATCATAAAAATTACAAACAATTATTTATTATTATTACTTATTGTTATTATTATTATTCTTTAATTGCGATTATTTTTTTTCCAGAATACGGAATTCTTCGCTCGGTGCTTCACGGTTTCGAACATAATTTCATTCTGCATTTGTCGGGTCTTGCATGCTACTCTATAATAGCCATACTAGATTCCAACCGTTACTGTTAAAAAACCGTTGCCTCTATATAAATATTAGGCAAAGATTTTTATTTTAACACTTCCCGATATTCGTTCTTGTTCGTTCGGCTGTTCCCAGCTATTGCAGTAGCTGTAAAACAGAAAAATAAAAAATGTTACGCAAGATATTTAATCCTTGTATTAATAAAAATTATTATGGCGTTTGAACAATTGTTCCCATCGTAATAATACAGTACGGTTAATCGAGCGAGCGTAAGCGCGCCACTACAAATCTGTCGATATGTGTATTATTAATTCAAATCGTTAAGTCCGCTGGTAGTTAATTGATTTCTTGGATTAATTCGATGCACCGGCCTCATCGCACAAAACATAGTTACGTGAAAATTTTTAATCAGATTGGATTTCAAAGTAATTGGATGAATAAAGTTACCGAGACTTCGTCGATCTAGCCGCCGATATTTGCCGCAGTGTTATAATTATAAATTCTCCGATTTAACTTACCTCATACATAGATAAATAAATAGAAAGATAGATTGTGTGGGTGTGCGTGCGTGCGTGCGTGCGTGCGTGCGTGCGCGTGTGTGTGCGTGCGACTAAATCTATAAATTCGCAGTGCAATTAAAATCTTATTGATAATTTTTAAATAATAAATTGCAATTGCTTTAATTATATTAATTTTCATTGTGTCAACGATGAACAAATTTGTTCCACACATTTTATCGAGATCGATCGAGACCGATGATCGAGTCCAGTTTATTTTTCAAGCAAAAAATAAAATTCGTAAAGTGTCAACCTGCGCGTGGAAGAAAGAAGAGTGGTTGAATGACGTCTATCGACGATAAGTGTCCTAAGCGCACGAATGAAAGTAGCCGTGGCCATTCGGCCCGAATCGCCGTTGCGAGGTGGCGATGAATCGTCGTCGCCGGCGGATTATAATTAGTTTTCGAGTACTCGGGCCGCGCGTTAAATTCAGCCCGCATCGCAAACTGTACTTTCGCACCTGCGAAAACTCCGCGAGCCAATGCCGGGGCTTTAAAAAGCGGGGAAAACATCGGGCCGCGTCGGTCGGAGGATCGTCACTCGAAAAACGGGCGCCCCATCCAAGGATACGCCTTGGCCCGTAACGCTCGTAAGAATCGATGGGGCCTCTCTTCGTTTCATTTCGCGCACCGCTGCTCCACATTGAGCTCCGAAAGTGGGTCTCGGTGCGTCCAATGAATACGTGTGCCGGCACTCGTCGAAATCATGACAGTTTATTTTTCAGTCTCAAAAATATATCAAACTTTTGTCAAAAGCATCGACAATTTGTCCAAATAAATCCCGTAAATGAGCCGTGGAAGCCAATCTAACGAATCACTGAACGAGAGGAAAATAACGGAAAAAAAATAGGAGAACGTGAAAGCGCCGAGGGAAAGGCGGACTGACCGTCCCGTCGAGTCCTTATTCTATATACTCCAGTCGCCCACGCACATTTGAATTACATAAGTGCACGATAAATGCGGGCGGGCATCTATTCCCATGCGCTCTGCTGCCACTCGTGTGATTCCGTCAATGTCATCGCAATTAATCCTCAATTAATCGCGCCGTCGATACGCATTGCATAAGCGGCGCAATTGCATAATTGTCGTTTGCTAGTGCGCGCAGCAGTCCCTTCTATCCCCCCCCCCCCAAGCTCTCGTTCTTTTCTTAGGCCTGCACCCAGTCCCTACCGTTCCCGCTTTTTTTTCATCTCTCGAACGCGTCTTTCGTGAACTGGATGTTGTTGATGCCGCCACGTTAAATAGAAAAGAAACGAACAAAAATGCGTCCCCATGGCGCCATAGTGAATCGATCGCAATGGCCTTCTTCTAATAATTCGTGCGCAAGGGGAAAACAAGGGGGGATGGCGACGATAACGACGAGAAGAAGCGGCTGGTGGTGGGTCGTCTACTAGGCGACTGTCCGTTAAAACGTCGCCGTCGCGTCTGGAGCACATTAAGCTGCCGGTACGTCCTGCCCGAGCAGGTGCCGTTACGATGATACATACAGAGAGAGAGAGAGAGAGAGAGAGAAGAGAAAAAGAGTGCATCTCGATGCTCTCTCTCTCTCTCTCTCTCTCTCTCTGTCTGTGCGTCGTGTGTGTATGCGCGCACGATTGTACAAAGCGCGAAATTATCGATTGTCGCAGAGTGAGGGAGATGGAGCGAGGCGGCCGGTGGCGGTAGCGCGAGTCAGCTGACGGAGCGAGAAACAAGAGCCAACAGCTGATCCGTGTTGTACGTCGCCCAGCGACGCGCCACTGCACTGCGTCTCTTCTCACTCGCTCACTCGCTACGCGCATCTTTCGCTTCTTCTTCATCTTCGCTCTTTCTTGCTACGACTTGCGGCTCTTACGGCATCGTAGAGCCAATATGCGTGAGCAGCATCCCCGTTGTCAATTAGCGCTTCATCCTCCTCGCGCTATGATAAGCGGTATCTTTGTTTACGGCTATCCAGCGATTCATTGACTCATTTATCAGGGTATTCGTTACTCTGTGATGCGCGCGCGCTAAACAAGAGAGGGGAAATAAGGCGAATGAGACAAAACGTCTAGTCAGGCATCGGGAGCAACTATCGACGCATTATTAAAAATAGAGTTGGTCGTCGAGAGTCGTAACTAGTAACTCGCAGCTGAATTTATTGACCCTGATGCCGATGCTCGAAAGCGCGACTTCTCGTCTTCTTATTTTTACACTTTCGTTGGCTTGCATGAAAAACAAAAGCAACGAAGAACGGATGGCGAATGCGAAGAGCGAGAGGGCGGCGGGAGGAAAGGACGAAGCGAGAAGCAGCACCGCAGTCTTATTCGACTGGGATCGTCGATTAGTCGCGGAAAGTTTTGCCGTCGGTGGACTGCACCACTAGCGTCATTATTTCGTAAATCGTGGTCTTGTCGTTGTTATGTTGTTGCTGTTGTCGTTGTCGTCGTCGTCGTCGTCGTTGTTGTTGTTGTTGTTGTTGTTGTTGTTGTTGTTGTTGTTATTGGTCGGGCTCCCTTTGTCGGTTGTACGTGCCACTCATATCGCATCCACCTTCTCCTCCCTATCTTGTTCACTCTCTTTACCTTCGGGGACTCCTTGCGGACCCTGAGATATATCATGGACATGCCTAACATGCGCGTCTCCGTTATTATCACCCATCCGACTTCATCAGCGGCGAAACATCGCGCGTGATCGATAGTAGGGCCGCGACCGCGAGACTGTGTACCTTCTGTCACTGCTGATATCGAAGGACGCGCGAGCGCAACGGAATTTCGAATATTATTCCCGTCGTTAGATTGACGCGCGGACGTGCGTTACGTCACCCAGTGGCTTAGGAGCTCCGCTGAGGATCGATGCGCTACCTCCATCGGCACTTCCCCCCGCTGCCATCCTGTCCTGCGTCACCACCGCTAGCCTCCCTTATTCGTAGCGTTTGCCATCCTTGTTTTCATCTGTAAACCTGTTTTACACTAGATACGAGAAGCGCAATCGGCATTATAATCCATGTGGGCTATGCTAGATAGCAGCACTTGAGCGCCCGATAGGAGACCGGGACCGAGGTGTTAATTGGGGTTCTGAGAGAACGAGAGAGCGAGAGGGATTTAACGAGGGAATCGTGGAGGGAATTTTGAAGCTCGGCATGCTTCGTTCGCCGGCGCGCGGGGTCGTCGCCATATTGGGATCGTCATCAGCGCCAACGACACCGGTCCACCACGCCACATCCGGTACCTCCGGCAATAGCGCCGCGCACTCGCGACTCTCTCTACTCGACACATGTCATCGGAAAATACGATTCTTCAGTGAACTTGTCGCGTGAGTCTACATTTTTTAATAACATCACAATAATTCAATTATTCCAAAAGAATTTAAGAGAAAAAAAATATGTTGATTTGCCGTTTTTACTTTCGCTGCGCTTTTACTTCAGCTGGGATTCTCGTCTTCTTTTCGTCATTTACGCGGGAACGTATCCACATATTCAAACCTGTTGTATACTATTTATCCTAATGGATGACAAAGCGAACTTTTGACGCTTGTCAAAATATTATTGACTCCACGATATGAACAATGAGAAATTGACCATTCATACTATGAGTACATTTAATAACGGGAAAAGTATAGCCAGAGTCCCAGTTTGATTAATTAGTTATTAGCCTCTTTGATTTGGCAACGGGGCAAACGAGATTAGTTGAGATAATAAGAGAGAGAGAGAGAGAGAGAGAGAGAGAGAGAACGTGAGAGTGAGAGGGCGGGAATGGGAGAGAGAAAGTGTGCAGACGTGTGTGTAAACGAGAGAGAGAGAGAGAGAGAGAGAGTGAGAAAGTGAATGATTGAGTGAGTAAGTGAACGAGCGAGTGAACGAGTAATCAGGGAAAGGATTCTCGTGGCCTCTACGTAGCGCACGCTTAGACAAATGTTTGCTCAGCGAGCTTTTACTTTACGTTTTCGCGAACGTCGTGGAGCCGGTGATGTTCTAGCAGCAGCAGCAGCAGCAGCAGCAGCGGCGGCGGCGACGGCTCAGGCTCCGGCTCCGACGACTCTAATCGGCCTTCGATGCGTTTGCGTCGCTCGCTTAAAGGCGTGGCCACCCTCGACCTTGATTGTCCCCGTACTGGCGAGCAGTCGAGGGGAAATTGGCGCCCACAGCCCCGGGGAAGGGCACCGATGTTCCCTCGACCGGAGGCCCACAGCTTTGTTATTTTTTTTTCTTCCGCTAGCTAATGGAACTTCGAGGGGATGAACTTAAATGGGGGAGTGCAAAAATGGGCTGAGTAGAAAGGAATGGAGCAGCACGAGCACGTAATGAGTTTCTGTGTGTGTTCGGCTTTCAGAAAAGCCCGACGAAAGGAAAAGGATGCGGGAACAACGGAAGATCCAAAGCTCTATCTAGAGGAAGCGGCTCTCGAGAGGCAGCTTCCCGACGTTGACCTGAGAGTATTAGTCGATCTACCTCCGGGTCTCGATTACAACGAGTGGTTGGCCTCGCACACTCTGGCACTCTTCGACCATATCAATCTCGTTTACGGCACTATCTCCGAGTTCTGCACCCCCACTGGATGTCCCGACATGACTGGACCGGGCTTAAGGTATTACTCAACAAGTGCATCGTTATGGGCGAGTTTACTTTGTGCTGTGGTGTCCTTTTGATACTCTCCACACCAGGACACTATTGATTCGTTTTTTCTTTTCTTTCCCGCCCTCTGTTGCCTCCTGGCATTTTAAATTTCAACGTAAATTGGACAAATCGTTCGGTTGCTTCATTATTAACTCGAATATTACCTGTTACCTTAAACACAATGTAAAATCATATTGATTAATTTGAAAAGGCTAACTAATTGGCTTGTGTGAATATTCATCGTTTGCACTCCGCTAACTATGACAAAATCCTAAAAATACAGCCTTCCAATTAGAAATATTTTATATTTACTTTAATTACAATTAAATAACGTCAAGTTTTTCATAAATTATTGTTATTTTCAATTATAAATATTGCGTAATTACGGGGGAAAAAAATTAAAAAACGTAAGCGTGTCGTTCACAAATGAAAAAAATATTTATCAGCCTTTTTTTGCTACGCTTTTCGCAGTTATTCAACTGTCATTATTGCAAATTAACACGATCGTTCAAGCTTCCGTGTTACTACAACCAATCGAGAGACGTTATAAATGCATCGAATTTCTATGATCTAATATTATTATGCTATAGACATTATTATAGTTAAAAACGCCTTGAAAAAAAAAAAGGAACGATTGATTTAACGATATTCATACGTGGAATAATGAAATCAATGTACATATGTTATATTTATGCATTAAGTACACTTTAATTTATATACATGTTTATACACGCACGAATGAGTTATAATATCTAAAAATAGCATTGCTCAGAGAAAAATAATTAACTAGAGTGTAGGCTTGTTGTTCAACGTATATAGTACAATAATGCTAACTGAAAGTGGCAAAAATTGTCTTCGTAATTTGTAAATATTTTCAAAATATGTTACAAAAGCATGTTACATAATAGAAATTTTATATAAAATTTATGAAAAATCATTATTTCTTTCCTATTAGAATGGCGATACGAGATATCGAACGAATATAAACAAAATATACATTTTTCTTTGTTCTTTCAAATTAATTCGACTTTCCTTTTGTTAATTACAGAACGTATTTATGGTTTGACGAAAAAGGTAAGAAGACTAGGGTGGCGGCACCGCAGTATATAGATTATGTGATGACCTTTACTCAGCGGACTGTCAGCGATGAAACTATATTTCCTACAAAATACGGTAAATATTTCGAGCGAATAATTAATTCTGGAATATTAATTACTATAAAATTTAAGTTCATTTGAAGTTTAATAAGCATTTTACTCGGGACATTTATTTTAAAATATGATGCTTCAATAACTATCACAGTTTCTTGATAATAAGTCTGTTTTTCATTCTATAAAATTCTCAGTTAAAAATGTCATAATCGTATAAATTTTTTTTTTAATGCTTTTAATTAATTAAATAAATTTAATTTATAACTCATTAAAATTTTTTCACAATTTAATCTTATGTTTAAAGTCTTAAGTTTATGGAAAAAATTTAATAAAACTTCGTAGGTTACACAAGTCTTACTTTATTTTTAAAGTATTTGATAGGCAGATATGTGTAAATAATTGGCTTTGATTTAAAAGATAATTTAATTTGTAAGTAACCTAATTATACATATTCTCTATAAGTAAGTTAGGTCATTTAAAAGCATTAAAATAATATTGTGCTAGTTATTTTAATAAAGGAATGAAAAGAAATTTAATAATAATAATATTTTACGAATTAAAGTTATAAAATTATTTTTATTATAATTTGTAATATGTCTATTGATTCGTGCAATAATAAACTCGAATCAAGTGAATAATTCTAATACTCAAATTTATCTATTATTAACATTAAATTCTTATAATTTTATTATTCATTAAAATTATTATAAATTATATAATAACTTTATATGAAAATATTTGAAGAAAATCTTTTTAATCAAATTAATCATTATCTTCGTATATTTAATATTACTAATTTTTTTTATAATACAATAATTACACAAAACCATTTTTTTGTCTATTTAAGAAATATATAATAATTCTTATTTATACGCATTAAGTCATTTACCTTTAAAATAAACAGAAATTGCATTTATTCATGTTTTATAATACATTAATGTACCGGATTTACTTTTAGGATTATATTGAAATGTTGATTTTCCATTAGGCTTCTTTAAAATTTTGATTTTGATTTATTTTATAATGCTTATTTAATATCTTATAATAATGTAAAAAAGTTTGTTATTTAATGATTAAAGTTTTTATTATTATTATTATTATTATTATTATTATTATTATTATTATATAATAATTTTATAACGAATTCTATCTGTATAGCAAGGTCTGTAAACTATTTATAAACTATATAATAGTAAATAAGAGAGCATACATTTATGGCTTTAAATAATAAATTTATTTGTGAATATCAAATTCACTCATATATTTTTTAATTATAATAATTAAGTAATTCATTTTACTGGGTTAAGATTATGAAATTTTATAAAGAATACTTGAAAATGAATTTTCTTTATGTATGCTATCGATTCATTTATTGTGATATTAAAAATCTAAAGACGACAAAAGGCCCGCAATTAAATTATAAAAATGTTTGAGGAGTAAAATTGTATAATATAGTTTAAAAGTATAATAGTATAAAAATGTATGATAATTGAAGGAATTATTATGCAGAATAAAATTTTATTTCCTTTTTGATAAATATTTATAAGTTTACGTACTATAAATGCAGTAAAAAAAATATATTCCTCGAATATAATTAGTAATACAATGTAGTATCTTAATAATAATTGATTAAAATGATTGTAATATTTGGCTTGGCAGCAAACGAATTTCCCAGTTCGTTTGAGTCAATAGTGCGTAAAATCCTGCGGCTACTTTACCACGTCGTGGCACACATATATCACTGCCACTTCCGGGAGGTGGCACTTTTGGGGTTACATATACACCTCAATTGTGTTTTCGCCCACCTTACGCTTCTTAATCAGCGCTTTAATCTTATCGATACTAAGGAAACTGAAATCCTTGGTGACTTAGAAGCTGCACTTTTAGGTACGAATTTTAGTTTCTTTATATATATATATATATATTTGTTTTGAAAATCAGTCTTGTCAAATAAAACTTCGTATGTTTGTTAAAATTATTGCAGGTGATTCAGCATCCGGAACTTCACAAACGTCAGGCGCCTCGGAAGTTTCAACAACATCGAGCACCTAAAATTTTTAAAACTGAGAGTAAGGCCAAAGGCTCCAGTTCCTTGAGATTAGATCATCATGATATGCCTTTGTCTCTCTGTTACTCTGTTGTCTAATTGATGCTGAAGAAATTACTTCATCAAGGCTACTGCGCACTGCGAAACGCATGACGGTAGAAAAAGGAAAGCATCCTTCTACATACAGAAAGGAATATAACAATTAAATTAAAAAAAAAAAAAAAAAAAAAAAAAAAATCAGAAAAGAGGACAGTAAAATACTAGTAGTACCTGTAAATAGAAAATTATATGAAAGAAATGTATGATGTAATTAGGTTCCTTCGTTTGCTGTTTGTGAGATTGTACATAATTTATGGCTCGAAACGCTGAAGCGAAGAGACAAGAATCAATGAATTATAAGTTAATCCCTGTGAGTGGTGAGTAAGAAACGTGTGAGTGAAAATTCAATTGAAATGATATAAAATGATTTGTTCTGTATAAAAGGAAAAACAAAGCGCGAAATGATGATAATATTGTAAAGTTATAATGAAAAACAAATATATACCTGGTGTTAAATTATTTTCTAATTTATTATTTTAGCATTAAATATTATCTATTAGTCCTTATAATTTCTTAATTATTTTTAGATTATTGTCATGTATTAGAATTACTTTTGTAATTATGAGTTATTTCAATTAATTTAAAAGATCCGATTAGCGTTGCAATTTCTTTTATAAAAAAACCAAATGTTGTTGCCAGAGGCTCGCAACAATCTCGTATTGAAGTTGCTGTATTATAAAGTAAAATGAGAATTGGCTGTATAAGAGCATTGAAAGTTATAGACAGTAGAGGTTTTATAAAATAGTCTGCTATTAGTTGGATTACACCAATAGTTAAAGGCCTTACAAAACTAAAAAGTATAAATCGTAAAGATTGCAAAATGCTTGTTGTAAGAATGGAAGCTATTAAATGAAAAAGGCCAAATATTTCAGCCAATATTCTAGTGATTTTTAAATTTGTTTTTTCAGCAACCTTTTCTGTTTTCAAAATCGGTGCTATGTCAGTAGTGTGATAGTATCTGAAGTAAAAAGTAACAAATTAGTAATATTTTTTACAAATTGATTTAACATTTGAATTAAAAATTTTAAAATTAATACGCAGAATTCCCATGATCGAAATAATAAATTTCAATTTTCTCTGCAACATCATTTCCTGATTCCGAATTGGACTTATGCTTAATGGGATTTTCTACTACATTTTTTAATCCGCTGCTTCTTTTAGGATGTATACCTTCTAATATCTCACAACATGTTAAAGGCTACATTAATTATTTTTCAATAATAAATAAAAAACATTTTTAATGATTTACTATTTTATTATTAAAATTTCATCACCTTTTCATTATGATAATTTTTTCCGTTTTTTGCCCTGACATCATATAATTTTTTCATATCTTTTTTCTTTCCAAAACTTTGTCGAGGCCATTTGTAATTAAAATGTTGCCATTTATTTTTGGTGTTTTCTAAAATCAAATCCAAATGATACAACCAATAATTCGTTTTAATTTATATAGAACATTTACCATTTTCTATTGATTTTTCAATATATTCTCCATGTCTATATAAACAGTATTTTATTGTACATGGTATTATATTTTAATGAAAATATTTCCAAAAAATTATACAATAACTTACAGTTGAGCTTGTTCACAAAAACATGAAGAGAGATGATTTGTATCAAAGTTTATCATCGAACAAGGAATAAATTTCATACCAAAAGCATGTTGATGACAAATACACTCTTAAATTAAAATTATATTACAAAAGAAACTTTATATGTTTATAAACATCGATTATAATTATAGATTTACTTTGAATTTTATTGAGGTTAACATTAGTACTATTTATTTCTGAAGATTTTTTTGTATGATTATCATCAATTTGTAATGAAGATAAATTTAAGCTCTCCAAGGTATCAGATGATACACTTTTTTCAGTTCCCATTACAAATAAGTAATGATGCAAATAGATGTAAATAAAATATAAATTCAAATGGCAACTTGAAATATAAAATTATATAACTGAATATCCTGAAATAATTCATTTAATAACCTATGAAATTAAAAAATGACAAATGACATTCATTAAAAATGTTAATTGAATAATTTTAATGACTATTATTTTTCAAGGTATAAAATAATATGCGACAAGTTTAATTTAATATAATTATTTTATGTAACAGCTTGATAAGGTGTCATTAATATAATTCAGTAAATAGTATAAAATTGGTTTGGACAACATAGAAAAATGTGTTAATCTTTAAATTCTTATTAATATATAATATTTCAATGTAAGTATATATTTTTATTAAATATTAGAAGTTTGAAAACAGTCTTTATTACTACATCGCATGTTCTTGTATACTTTATAAGGCCTACAAACTATAATAGAATAATTAAAATACAACAGTAGGTTGTTCAACATAACTACAATTTTGTATATTTATCAATCGGAATTGATTGTAATATTTTATTTTTTGTTAGAATTAAAAATATTTTAATAAAATTATTTTGAGTATTAATAATATTATAATAAATCAGTATTTTTATGTAACTACTTGAGCAAGTATATAGTAATTAGAGTTTCGAAGAATCACAGTTAAACACCAAAACATGATCACTCGATTTGGTGTATTTTCTTTTTATAAAAAAAGTTCCAAAGATAATGCAGCACATTTAGTTTTATGCAAATACATAAAAAACATTATCTAACATTAATAGAATCATCTGACAGATGTAACACTTAAGTTTGTATACTAGTTGAGAAATTAAATTTAATCACGATGTTCATTTATTCAGTCATAAAATCACGATTGAAAATAGATATTGACGAAGAATAAAACATATTTCATTTAAACTTGATATTTGTTTAAAAATTTGTTTATAAAGCATAATTATAATTAATCATATATGAATGAGACATATTATTGCTAAAATGTAGGTTCCTTAATCGCAACTTTGGAATGTTCAGTTTCTTAATCTTCATTAAATTTTAATTATTTTTCTTAGTCTCTTAGAACAAAATATATTATTTTAATCAGAAATTTTTATCTTTTATTTTAATGAATATTTTTCAGTATTTCACATATCTATTCGAACAAAATAAATAATCCAAATATTTGTGTACATTTTTACTTTGTACAAATATATCATGTATATTCTACAGAAACAATATTTTACTAATTAAATTGTAATGATACTTTTCGAAATTAGAGAAATTAAGAGTATAAATTTTGTACAAAACCATATATTATTCAATTTAAATTTGAACGTGTAAATATCTTCTTTAAATACAATTTAATTTGTATTTAAAGTACACTTAATCTTTAAAGTATGGAAAGTTTTTTTACATTTAAAATTAAGAGAGATGAATTCTTTAATAATACTAATACTAATATATTACTATTATTATTACTACTGCTACTAGCACTATTGCTACTACTACTACTACTACTACTACTACTACTACTACTACTAATAATAATAATAATAATAATTATGGTAATGATGGTGACAAAAAAGTAGGAATAGCAATCATAATTACAATAATATAGGGTAGATACAATTATGAATGATCAAGTCGATAATTTTTTAAATTTATTATTTACTATAAAATAAATATTGATTATCTACAAGTCTTAAATTAATAGTAAATAATTAGTTTATTTCATTACAATTAGAAAACTGATAACACATTGAATAAGAAATGTGTTTTATCTGTCTCGAAAAATAATAAAATATATTTATAGATATTATTTCGCGTGTCATTTAGTGGTGTTTCATTAATTCAGTCATTTATCAATGATCTACCCTATAAAACCATCGACAATAAACCCTTTGAAGCACAATGCTGTGTTTGTAATATGACATAAGATTATTAAACAATATCTCTGTACTTCTGTTTCTTCGATATTTAGAATATTCTGAGGCTAGTAAATCCGAATTTATGATTCGAACTATAAAAACTATAAGTTTATTATTTTATATTATTAACGAGCATACGAAAATGAAGCGAACAAAAATGAATGCGAAAAGCGAATTTCTGCTTAAAAGGGTTGTTCACACACAGACACACACACGCGCGCGCGCGCGCGCACGCACGCACGCAAACGCACAAAATATATGAATAACGTATTCAAAAAATCTGTTAATGCATATTTAAATATGTTGCAAAATTCTGTGATGGCACAATATGTTATCGTATTCACGTTTCAAGTCACGTTATATGATGATATTTTCAGCATCTACTCTGTTTTCGCATGTCAGTAATTGATGACTAGATTTCTCTGAGACTATTGATCTCGATTTTCGTTGTCCAAGGTACACTTATTTTTTAATGTTTTGGTTTTAAGCTTTCCGTGTTCTTGTCAGCAAAATAAATCACTAGAATCGCAACTTTGGCGCTGTTTAATGACAAATTAGACATACTGATACTCTTTTTGTGAAAGTAATGGCAATTTTTCAACACTTTGCTTTAAATCATAACTGTGTAACCAGTCCGTACTAGGTTTGGCTTTTAAGCCACATAAGCTACAGTCACAAAAGTCAGCTGCATTTTGTAAGGCGCCTCTATGGAAAGGGTTTCCTTTGCTAAAATGCTTATAACGTCCAGCATTTATGCGCTCATTTGTTGTCATACCAAGTATAATAATCTAAAGTAATAAGCTTATTAGACAGAATGTAACATAGTATGTGTAAAAATATATATTAGCTATTGTATTGGTATAGAGGATCAAATATTAAATGAATTATATATCAAGAAAAATATTGAAATATATATTATTTCTTGATATGAATATTTTGAATATGCAAACACACGCGCGCGTACGCACGCACGCACGCATACAAACACAGACGTAATGAAATATTTTAACACTATGAAATTATTTCTTTGTATCGACACAGACTGACCTGATAGCATTGACAGGTGAGGAGTGTTCCTACCCAAAATAAGTGTAGAGCGGTGTTAGTTGTTATCCACATAATCCATGCATCACAGGTCGCAGCTGCTACTAAATAATTATCGGCTGTATGGCTGTCTGTAAGATTTGTCCAGCACTCAAATTGCCAATATTGGACAATAGCGGTTAAAATTACAACACAAAGAGCCAGAAGAGATGTTAAGAATCCAAGAAAGTATTTATGATTACGGGCGCCTGCAATTATAATATTTTTACATAAGTGAATAAAGATCTTTAAGCTTGCAAAACTATTGTGGCAAACTATTAAAACTAACCAATGCAATTGTTTACCCATGGGCAATGATGATCGTATCGGGCGACACAAGCATCACATATTGAACAATGTTTTGATCGTATTGGCTTTCGCACTAAACAAGTGTGACAAAACAATTGAGGCTCAAAGCCACCATTTTCTGCTAATTCTACTATACACTTTATATACAATAAAAAGTTTCAATTAGAAAATGTTTTTAGTACATTTGACTTTATTTTTTTATTATAATTATATTAAAATTATAATCTTACATTGAGTTTATCCTCGTGAGAGGCTTTAATTACACCTGGATCTCCACGCCAAGATTGTAAAAAGCATATCCAAAGAGGAACTGAACCACCAACTACTAAAAGCCAAAGATACCACGCCGCATGTAGTCCGAGCCAAAAGACCCAAGTTATATATATCCACATCTAATAAAGAATGTAAATTAAATTAAAATTGATAATTTATTTAATAATTTTAAAACACTAGACGTGAGAATAAACTTAATGTAAATAATAACACAAGGGCTATTATAATTAAAAATTTATGGTATCTGAATCTTAATAAGAAATCATTAGATAAAATATAAAAATTGTTTCGATATTTGATAAATAATCTGATAACAAACCTTAGTAGCTAAATAAATTGACATTGGTAGAACATAATAGAGTCTCTCATCATAAATGTAGTTACTTGCAGTATGAATTGCAATGTAGAGAGCAACAAAGGCAACCAATTTAATAAAGTAATCTAGGTCACTTTGGAATATCATTCCAATTGCATAAAATATTATAAAAGGAGTGCTTATCATGCAGTACCATCGTATTCTCTGATAGAAAATGATAAAATTGATTTTTTAAATGTGTATTGTGACTAACGTTACATGCTTCTTCAATTTACCTTATCTCTACACCAAACTTTTGTACGTCCTTGCTTTTGTCTTATTTCATGACTAAATTTATGCCCTAACCATGCTGCACCAATATGCGGTCCTAATAACATCATTGGTGTTTCATTTTTAAAATTAGGAACATCTAGAGACGCTCCATAATGTACTAAAGTTCTGATCGCTGTATCATTTTTGGCTATAATCGCCCAATGTAGAGCAGTATTACCGTACAAATTATCTGTCAAACTGTGCGAAGCTCCTAGAGTAAGTAGTAATCTTGTTGGATCTAGACTGTGAAAATATGCGAAGCTTAAAAAAAAAATGATTACACTTAATTTTACAGTTCAGTTATTAATTGCTAGATTGATGACTTTGTTAACGATGAATGCTTCTTGTATGAGAAAGCAAGCTTGCAATGACAGAATACGGATAACTTAAAATCCAATCATTTATCAATAGATGACACATTTAAAAAGTCTTATTTTATATGGACAACAATCTGTAAACGTACTTTTTTTTATTTACCTATTAATTTTGTAAGCACTCCACATTAATGGTGTCATGGCACTTCTATCTTGCATACTTGGATTTACCCCCTTTGCGACTAGATAGGCAACAACGGCTGTGTGTCCAAATTGAGCTGCGGAATGTATACATGAAGAACCTTCGCAATCTCGCAATGTAGGATCTGCTCCAGATCTCATTAGAATTACAACAGTTGCTAAATGACCTTGCCTGAAAAAAAGTTAAAAATCTCACACACGATATTTATTTTTCAAATAATACAATTTTATTTTAATGTGTAATAACTGACCTGGTAGCCCAATGTAACGGAGTCGATGCTAATTCTCCACCAATCGCATTAACAATGGCTCCTTTTGCAATTAAATACTTAACAATTTCCCTTCGATTATTTATTGCAGCCCAATGTAATAATGTAACTGTTTCAGCATCCAGTTGATTGACATCTGCACCTGCTTCTACCAATTCAGTAACTCTTTCCAGTGCTCCATACTATAATAAGAATTTTTGTTATTTGCATAAAATCTGATGAGAAAATAGCGTCTATCAAAATCAGAGGACATACCTGCGTAGCTCTGACAATATCAAAGGAACTGCAATCTTGTGTTACTGCGTGAGTCGGTTCTGGATTTTGTACAGAAGGATCGGGCTGAGGTTCCCCGTCACCTTCACCTTGACAGGCAGTTTGCATTTGCAGAGCATACATGCTACTTAAAGAATAAACGTGTTTATTATTACTATTAAAACATTGAATAAAAGTTGATATCTTTTCGAATAATCGATGATTTACTTTGAAAATGATAATTCATTACCTGATTAGTATAAATGTTTGACCCAGTGTATATACATCGACATGTCAACAGACTTTAACCCTCCTTCTCACTCTCGTTTCTTCAATTATTTAAAAATAATCAAGATCTATGTAACAGCGTAGCCTCCTTCGCGCTGAAATCGTTATAAAAAGATTAAATTGAGCAAAAGTGAAGGTGGGGCTGTGATGCCGGTACGGCCGAACCACTATTGTACGGGCTTGAGTAATAAAGCTAACCTCAATTCGTCGGGGACCGTTGGGACTTGTCTCTGTTTGTCTAAAACTGTTTATAAAACTCGTATGCAAAGTAAAGAATGAAGCACTCAAAAATTAGAGTACGTTCCTTCGTACGATAGTACAGGTGACTCCGCGTCCTCCATTTCCGTCTAAATGTCGCGCGAGCCTGACTCTGGCCTATCGAATTTTCAGATCGTAAAAGGAAAGGTGGGGCGGCGCGCGTCTCGATTAGGATTTTCCTCGCCTGATTCCAATCTCTATATACGTGTAAATATATGAATTTATGAATTTATGATTACATATGCATATATATATATATATATAAGGTTGATAAGCGTAAATGATACGCTCCTTACAGTTGTAGCGGGACCCCAATGTTCGACTTGCGCAGTAAGAAGATGTTAGAAGGGACAATGCTGCCCGACGTTTTGGTGTGTGATCAATGGGCCGTTGTCGCGATCCTTGATCGTCGCGCCTTTCGCGGATTACACGAGGACGTTTACCAATTATCTCTTTCAATGATGCAGAGGGCACATTACCGGGGTTCCCCGTGAGTCGACAAGGTCATTGCGTACGCGCCGCCGCTACGTCTTCTGCTATGCTCCGGATGGTAATCAAGATCAGGAGTTCTGCAGCTGGTGCTTAATTACGGACTTATTTAGTTTTATGGTTGAATGCTGTGGTGTGTTTCGAGTTGCTATTGGAATAGATTGCCTTTGGAATTTGGCCCCCGAATGGATCAACCTTGCGTCCAGGCTCTGGAGAGTGGCAGCACTGAGGTTCCAAATTTCATTGACATGCGCGGGGCATTTATGCTTGCATCTTCGCATCATCGGACCTGGGATTTTACCTCCATATTGGAAACGTACACCTGGAGAAATTGCTGACGAAAAATATGACCTTGTCATTGTGTTAACATTATACCAGCGTTACATTATGCCATGGCACCTAGAGATTATAAGGATATTAATTAAAAGGATATATAGGATAATAATTAAAAGGATATGTAAGCGACTGTATTGACGAAATTGAGATTTAGTTTATTATCACAGTTTATTTCACTTGTTTTTATATTACAATTAAATTCTCAATAATATAAATCATAAGATTATCATCGATCTAGTCTTACCGTCGTCGACGTCGTCATTATCATCATCATCAATTTCATCATTATCTTCTTTATTTTTGTCATCATCATCATCATCATCATCATCATCATCATCATCATCATCATCATCATTATTACTACTAACATAATTAAAGATTTATAAAAATATTAAATTTATATAATATCAAAAATGATTAGAAAATTTTTCAAAACGATTTCTCTAGAATGATGCTTTTCATCATTTTTACTCACTTGCTTCTTTAAATAATTCATATTGAATAAATATAGGAATTGATGAAAATGCTTTCATATGTATATACTTGGTGCGAATCTAGATGCATACGATGAGTGTACACAATGCAATGCAGTACGGTGCATTAGTGCTAGGAAAGGCAGGATTTTAAATGTAAGGCAACACTTACAATTCTATTTATTCTAAAATTGAAAATTTTCAAATGACATTATTTTCATTGTATTTGAAGTGTGGCGGCGAATTCATCCATTTTCCTAATAGGGTTTGAATTATTGCAGCAGCTATAGAACTCGGAGATCCGTCGTTATTGGGAATTTTCCTTCAGGTAGCATTATCCCTTTGAAATATCAAATAAGTTTGTCAGATGTCAACACGTTGAAAGCTTTACGATACTCTCCACACACATAATCTATTTTATATTTTTACACGACAAAGTAAACTTTAATCACAATTATTATTTTTTTTTTTTTTAATGTTTCGTGTATTTTATGATTATGTTTTTAATGAATTTTTATTTGAATTCGGGTCACGTATAAATTATTATAGAATACACTCAATAACAAAATGAATTTTTTTCATTATAATATAGTTTGCGTAATAAAATTGTTTGAAATTTTTAGAAGTAATCATTTTTACAGATTCAAGAATTTTATAATTTTCAGTATATAGAGTTTTGATTGTGGAATTGTAGAACAAATGTTTTACATATTTATTTCGAATTGATAATTCAGATTTACTTTATATTTCATCTGTTTGTTCGATTATTCAGTTAAATAAACGTGTCATGAGAGTATAGTTTTCTTTGAATAAATGTCTTCGATTATTGAAACATTTTATTATTAAATTATAAATTATAAGCCAAGATTTTATGCATTTCACTCAACAATACAGGAATTTAGACTTATTCGACTATAATTATTAATTAATAAGAGATTTATCAATTGTTAGGAAATAATATTTATAAAAGAAATTTATAATAAATTCTATAGATTTTTTCTTCAAATACTATACTGCTTAATATATCGATTGATTATATTATTTTTCATGATGACATTGAATAATACACTAGTTTCATTACTATTTCAATTCATGTTTTATAAAAGAAAAATGTTAACAGTACATAATTAATAGGAATTTATAGAGTAAGTACATTATTTAATTCAGATTATTATTTTATATTTAATTTTCATATAAATTTTAATGTTTTTTGCCGACATCTATTGCATTTTACTAAGATACATACTTTTCGCTGTATCTGGTGTATATTCATGGGCATAGTCGTGGTAAGTTAAAGTAAATCGAATGTGTGTGTCATATGTCCATTATCATTTTGTCAGATTTTTAAAGACTCGTAGCGGTTGGTTATGTACGATATTACTTGACACACAGTTATAGACTAAAACGAGATGTTCTCTTTCGATTATAAAACAATGCGAGAGAGAAAGTGTTAAATGCTAATGGTCGGTATGGAAGACTTCGTTTGTGAATTTGTTTTCTACGTTACCATATTTCGGTTCACAATTCATTTAGTTGAACGTGGGCTCTATGTGTGCCTCTGGCCATCTGACAACAAAACATCTTTGATACAATGATGGATGCAAGAGAAAAACTTCATGGGGATTCAAGGACAAATGAAACGAAGCCGACACGTCTACTAACTATTTTTTGCTTTTGATTTTATTTTTTGCTTTGTTTTTATGTCATTTAGAAATAAATCAAAGTCATCGAATTTTTTACTCATATATTAACAAATTGATCAATATACAAATCTCATGAAAAAGCAACTTTATTTATCATCAGTTACCATCAATACGATAATTTATCACTATTTTGTTAATTATTTACTTATTGTAACGCTAAGAAATTAAGCATAATAATATAAACAATATAGAAATTAGAATTATCTTTGTAATATCCTTGATTTTACATGAGAATGGATTTATCTCATAGTGGAATAAAAAAAAATAATAATAAAGCTAAAGATAGTGTTATTTTCTACAAGCATAGAGGATAAATTGATGCTACAAGAACTGCGATGACGCTTGAAATGAACAGCGAAAATAAAATTAAGTCCCCGTGGATTTTTGGTTTTTTGGTTTGCAGCATGTAAAGGTATGTATGTATCATTATACACGATAGGTAGGTGGTGCATCGCAAGTTGGAGTCGACCACGTGCATGCCGATGAGGCCAGATCCTCTAATCAGGATACAGTGAAAATGCGTCGGCTGGTGTCGCATTCAAACGGAAATAAAAAGAAATGGACATTCATTCGTCGTATATTTATCGTAATATTCATCTGAGCGGGAATGAAAGTATTTGAAAATAAGGTGCCGTGATCCATTGCCTGTTCCGCTTCTCTCTAATTTTCAAATCGCAATAATTCAATCAATTTTTGCTGGATTTTCCCTCACAACTTTTTCCCCTAAAGATACTGAAAATGTTAAAAGGCTGTCCAAGTAAGACGGCCAGTTCTGTACTAAAAGTTTTAAGATGCTGTCGGGAGAAACTTAAAAAAAAAATAAAACATACCTTGTAAAAAGTGAAAAATCTTATTTAGATATTCGTTCTTAAATTTCATTCGCTTGAGGAACAAAAATTTGGAAATCCATTGGGTTGTGCACTATGGCAATAGTACTTAAAAGAGAACTATCAACGGCGACGAGCGAGGATCATTTTTATAGGCAGGATTTCGGGTGAAATTAATTAATGCCATCTGAGCGCAAGTGCCTATAAGATTCATTAATGCGAAAACAAGGGCAGAAATCGAAGCGCGAAGAGTGCAAAAGCGCCGGAGGAAAATGATATAAGATTGTGATAAGAGATTAGCGTGTGAAGAGGAGCGAGGTAATAAAGAGGTCGCAGCTGAAGCGGATATGAAACAAGAAGAAATCAAAAGCACGAAAAACGAAAAACGAAAAACAAAAAACAAAAAACAAAAAAAAACAAAATATGTCCCGAGAAACGTCGAACTTAGCGTATTAGCCTCAACGTAAAAGGCTATTATCATCGTTTGAGTGTGATTTAAGCGCGACCCCCCCCCCCCACCAAGCCTTCAGCCCTCCCAATCC